TTTCATAAATGTGGAATGGTGCTCTTGTGTTAGGGCTCTGTTGTCTTTATTAGACAGTGTGGCAGTTTCAAAAGCATGTGTATTCAACCAGTCCATTTTTGGAGTTTGAGTATCACCATAAACCATAATTAAAGTAAAAACCCTTCTGCTGCCCCCTCTTTTTTTACTCCTGATCTCTGAACACCAATACGGGTTCACAGCCTGCCTATGTTTCCCTTATTGATGAATTCTAATCAGATGCACACAGGCCCACCTATGCAGATCCATCCCATGTGCTGCCAACCCTCTTTAAATGTAACCAACCCCCTCAACATGCACACACCCACAACATAGCATTGTACTACATTTTTCAACATGGCACCAAAGCTACTCCACCGTTGAGTATCTCAGCTTGGTTCCACGTCATCCTCATTTGATTCTATTTTATTTATATACCCGGAGACGGCAAGAAGCTACGCTCCATAGGCTGGAGCTCAGGCTTTAGCCATAATGTCCTTATAGCACTGTGTGACAGTATGAGGCCAAACTACACTCTCCAACAATCCATCATCCCTCCCACTGATTCATTTGTATGTGATGGGAATACATTCTCATACAAAGACCATAAAACATGTCATTGTCAACAGAGGTTACAATGAGCTGATGAAGGCCGGAAGCGAAAAGAGAATACGGTAAGATTTGTATTGTGTGTCCCCCTAGGGCTGCTCACAGAGAATGCATTTTGCAGGCAAGGCTTTGTCATGGGGGGATAGTTGGAAGTAAAGAGGGAGGGAGGGAGGGAGGGGGGGGTTACAACATCATCCTGCCAAGGCTCTGACAGGCTGCAGCCCCACGGGTTCAGTCGGCAGCCCGTTTCTGGAGCATCACCATCAGTCTCCTTCCCCAGCCTCACTGTGCTTGTTCGTATTAGTTAGAGAATGAGAAAGGACTGTGTGTGTGTGTGTGTGTGTGTGTGTGGCTGAGTACTCGTAGCGAATATCCTGGTGTCTATAGAAGCCTGTGGAAAGATCCGCGTGTATTTTTTTGCGTATATGCAGTATGCATGTCAGCCATTGTTAATTTCATTGATGTGTAAGTCTGTGTGGAGAAGCATGCGGAAGCTTTTCAGTGCGAGGCATCTCGGTGAGTCACTGCTCTCATATATCCGGACTCCGCACTCTACTCCGTATTGACTCTCTCTCCCCCTCCCCGGTCGGTTCTGCAGCAGCAGGAGCGTGCTCAGTAGAGCCAGACCTTTGTCCACATCATAATCATTGTCGTCATTTTCTCTCCTCCTCAGTTACAGCTCATCGCGTTACTGGCTCTGTTTGAATATATGAAAAAAATGAACCTAAATGCTGAGGTAGGAGTTATGCAGTCAGTTTGAAATAATGCAAGAGGAGACGAAGAAGCTGATTATGGATGTTGCTTTATTTAGATGTATATGTATGCAGCTAGGACATTGAAAGCTTCCTGCTGTTGTTGAACATGGGTCGTAGCTGATGGCCACTCAGTGGACCCACAAAGCATGTAATGCTATCTTGCCCTCACTATAAAGATGTATTGGAGAGACCTATTCATCCAGCTAATGCCTTTGAGCATCTGTTCTTTCATCAATCAGCAGCTTTGTACTTTAGTGGGTGATTCCCCTGGACACGGTGCCCAGCCTCGCTTGCCTCAAAGAGCTCATCCCAGATGGGAAATGCAGCGCGGCCGTGAGCTTGCTACCTGTCCGATACTTGTTCCATTCATCTGAGCCAGCGGCTGATCAATAGCTGATCTAATAGAACATTAAAAGCCCAGGGCTCAGTGAAAGGCAGGACTGCTGACAGTAAGGAGTAGACGGCCTGTGAACCATGGTGCGAGGGAGAGACCACAGAGAGTCCCGGGGGGGGGCGGTGCAAGATGGATTTTCTCCCAGCTAAAGGGGTGTTCAGGCAGTGAAGGATGTTAGGGCGGGCGTGGCATGGCAAGGGCAGAGTTACTTGTTTTTTTTGCTCTGAGTGCTGATGCAATAGAGGTGAAGTCGGGGAATAACAACATCACTGCTTATGTAGGATAGGCTTAGAGATGTGTTACTAAAATGAAGGAATTCAAAGTGCCCTATCTTTTTATATATTTGTAGTGCAAATAGAGTTTCATTTAGATAAAAAAAAAACACCCTGCCCTTCTCTTCTCATAGCCTGTCAATGATACAAGCTCTTCCTTGAATGTTCAAAGAATCTGCTGTAGATGTTGTTGGTTTTGGTGACAGTCTACATTTTGTTCCTTCCCTTCACTCCCCATATTTCCAACTTGGAAAAGCACCACACTGATTTGCCCCTTCTCTTTCACAGGACCCAAACACACCCCCATTTAGAGCTGGTTGGCTAACAGACCCATAGGAATAAAAGCAGAGCTTAGCGTCTGCGACCCTGAATATCCCCTCTACTGCGATGTCATCACAATCCAGCCCACGCCTACTAATGCTCAGCCAAAACACAGACTGGCTGTGAGTTTTGCAGCCCATCTCTGCGGCAGTGCCTAGTAGCATGTTTGATGTAACATCCAAATACTTAGCCTACCATGATGAGAGCAAATGAATATTGAATTGCGTCTCCATTTTGTCTTCTTCTCCATACAAACACAACATTTCCGACCACTCCCTCAGATGAGAGATTCAGATCTCTAACATCAACATTTTTAGTTGTTGAAAACATGTCTGTTAGGTAGAATGGATATTTTTGTGATTTATTTGTATTTATTTATTCAACAATATTTCAAGCCACCCTTTCAAAGAGCTTCATCATAAACATTTAAAAAGTAGAAAATAGCTTAGGCTTTAGGTGATAGAATATCTGCACTGCAAATCCACTGTTGGCAACATTTGTGTTGGTTCTAGTGGGAACTATAAGCTCCCAAAAAAGCTACATGACATTAACTTAACATCTCGTGGCCTTGGTTGTGGAAGTATTGGGTCACTGAACGATAACAAGTTATTTAGTGATACAGCCACTGTTTTATTTGAGCACATGAGTGTTATTGGTTTTAGACGTGTAGTCATCTCATTGCACAGACCATTCTTGGTTATGTGTCATCCAGTGAGAAGGAAGTGAAACTGACCAAAAAAACCTCTTACATTCTCTGCAACAATAGACTTTAATGTTGGTCATATGGTATCAGGTTCTGCTATTGTATTTCCAGTCAAAAGACAATACTGCACAGGCCCTTTGAGTTTCTATCCAATAGCTAAAGCAAGGTGTGTAGGAGTGTGCGTCTTTCTTCCAGGCTGCTTTCACACAGTGTACCAGAAACTGAAAACTGGTAAATCTCTCCTGCCAATAGTACTCATTTTGCTTCTCTTCACCTTTGCTTCACACCTACTTTCCCTCAGTCGTCTGTCTTTGAGTGGGCGGCTCAATGCGGCGTAGTCTGCACCCTGTAAGGTTCTGACTAGACCGCTCTGTCTCTCCTCTCTTATTCACTTTCTGCCTCGCAAATCAGGCGTGCAGACTTTTTGTTTCTGTGCTTTCACTCACATTACCAACGGAACTGTATAAAGCACAGAGTGAAATCATTGCTAAAATATATAATACATATTTTAGAGCACTAATGATGAAATGGAATGTGTATTCCTCATGGCCCATACAACCTATTTTCAAATAGCTTAATCGGACAGTGACACCTCACACAGCTCCAACACACTTCAGACTCATCAGTAGCAGACAGGTATACAGTTTTAACAGCCTGTATGTCTGTGAGGCATATCTTGCTGTGTTCGTTAGCTTGAGTGTTATGTGATTTTACAGTGAAGCCTGTGTGGGGTTGTGTGTTAAATGTTAAACCACTTACACAGGTGTGGTCTTAAGGCCTTCAAAATGCAGTAATAAGTTCTTCAAATTTTTTCTATATGTAAATTATTCAAGATTATAAGTATACATTTATATTGTATGTTAACATATATTAAGGTGTATAAAAAAAAGAAAAAGGAGAAGGGGTCGGATTAAATAAGTGTAAACTTCTTCCGACCCCTTTTCGGACGTGTAATTAGCTAAAGCTTTGTTGTTTATTGATATCAGACAATGATACTACAGATCCGACCCCTTTTCGACGTGTAATTTGAGCTAAAAAGCTTAGTTGTTTATATTGATATAAGACAATATTACTACAGATTATTCAATTATTGATTAAATATTTCGTTTTGTTATTGCATTCATTTGTATCGTACTGTATCATGTCTGTATCACCTTTTGTTTCGTTTGTATTTTCTTTGGTTTTACACGCTCGAAAAAAAAAAAAAACTAAATCAGGTACGTGTGCGCCTGCTCACACGCACAGCATCACGTTTTGATTCAGAATTTGTAATTCTCTTTATCATGTCTACACTTGTCCACCACACATTGTTTTCTTCATCTTTGCCCTCTTCTCTTACTCCCTTTCCTACGAATAGTTGGGCATCGCCACTCATGCTATACTTACTAACCTTCTCTGTTGTTGTTCAACTTTAGCGCACTATACCAATCTCTATTGTGCATACATCGTGGAACTGTATTCCTGTGACGCCAACGTAGGCCTCATTTCTGACAACTTCAGGCATTGTAATGTTCATTTTCTCCTGTTACCTCAAGTCAAACCATTTACACACACTCCAGCTGCTGTTAGAGAGCGCCTCAGACACATTCAGGAGACCTTCTCCAGTTAGCCTGCCAAGCATTAAATCCCATCAGGATTTGAGAGCGAACGATACAGTGTGGAAATATGCTGTCATTCTTCTGCGTTGAATTTGTCAGCAGGCCCAGTAGTCTTGAATCTGTGTTCATATCAGGTCTATTCGAGCATCGTGTCCTCTGAAGTGTTAGTGTGACCGACTGGAAGATAGACATCTGATTCAGCTGGCAGGGGGTTCGCCTCTCCGCCAGCTGACGCCTCTCTACAGTATAGCTCTGTCCTGCTGCAGAGGGTCATTTTCTCAACACACTGACTGTTTTCTTCTGACCCCTCACCCCTCAACCCCGTTTCTCCTTTTTGTCTTCCTCTTCCAGGCCAAGTCGTGCATCTGTCACATGTGTGGTGCCCACCTGAACCGACTCCACTCTTGTCTCTACTGCGTTTTCTTCGGCTGTTTTACGAAGAAACACATCCACGAGCACGCAAAAAACAAGAGACACAATCTAGGTAAGACACACACACACACACACACACACACACACACACACACACACACACACACACACACACACACACACACACACACACTTCATTAGGAGGGCTAGGATGTGTCCAACTTGAAGCCCACCAGTGCAGCGAGCATGCCTGTGCATAATGCCTGTGTAATGATTTGAAAAGAACATGTATATAAGTTCCTGTTAGAATGTCCGGTCAACATGTCCGTTAAAGTTTAAATCTTCCGGACAACATTTGAAAAGTACCGGTCAAAGGTCTTCTTTGTTATTTATTGAGCTTTAAAACAAATTGATATGATTCGATATTAAACAAACTAATAATAGTAGATTAACTA